AGACCAATCGCAGTTGACTGCTAATCCCAGAATAATTCGAATAGTTATAGACTTGATTACCGGACTAAAGGTATCCGTGAAATCAACTCACGGTTACTGATGAAATCCCTTTGCAACTATGTGGGCTTTGAAATGATCAATTGTACCATCAGGGTGATACTTAATCGTGAAGACCCAACGACATCCCACAATGTTCATAGCCACTATAGTAGCTGTATGATCCCATGTGTGATTTCTAGTGGTGGAATTGAACTCCGCCATCAAAGCTGCACGTCAGCGAAGATCTTTCATGGCTTGTTGCCAAGTGGTTGGAATCCAATGTGGATCAAATTGAAGCTTGGCAGTGTTGGCATATTTTAGATTAGGTTTTTGGATGCCATTCTTAACTCGAGTCGTCATAGAGTGTGGATCTGGTGGTGGCCAATTTTGTCGTGACCGAGGTCGCCGTTGTAGAAGAACAGCTTGGGGATTTTCTGCGTGACCAGACAATGTCATAGCAGAGGGATTTAGATTTGTTGTTGGGTCTGGTTGCGGGCCACACTGTTGATGAGCTTGTTGTTGTTGGGCTGGAACATCATTATTTGGGCTTCTATTAACAGAAATTATTGGCCCAACTCCTGAGTTTTCTGTATCCTCTGTCAAGACATTCTCACCATTGTAATGTGGCGATGACGGTGATGACGATGCCGGATTCAGGGGCACATGTGATGTTGGATCGGAGCCAGATATCAGGTTTTCTGTGGCCGAGGATGACGAGTGTATGAGTGGAGCAGGAGACGGAACAATAGTGATAGGAGTCGAAGGAATATCAACAATTTGAGGGAAATCTGTTTTAGGATTTATGAGAGTTTGGAAGGGGAATTGTGTTTCATTGAAGCGAACATGATGCGATGTATAGATGCGTCCAATGGTTGGATCAAGACAGTGATATGCGCTTTGAGTGAGTGAATAGCCAATGAAGACACAAGGAAGAGACTGGTTTTTGAGTTTATTGGGAGCGTAAGGTCTGAGCCAAGGGAAGCAAAGACACCCATATGTTCGAAGTTTGAGGTAATTGGGTTGGGTGTGAAACAATATTTGGTATGGACATTGATGTGAAAGAAGTGGAGTAGGAAGGCGATTGATGAGAAAAACAGCTGTAGCAAAAGCCGAAGGCCATTATGTGAGAGTAATTTTGGCAGTAGAAAGAAGGGAAAGGCCAGTCTCAACTATGTGTCTGTGTTTTCTTCCAGAAAGGCTGTTGTGTTCAGGTGTATGTGGTGGTGTAGTGAGATGAGTAATCCCTTGAGAGGAGAGATAGGATTGTAAAGCCAAGAACTCTCCCCCATTACCCGAATATTGATGTTGGATATTGGATTAAAATCTGTTTTCGACAAGGGCTTGGAAGGGAAGAAAGATGGTTTTAACTTGAGCTTTGGCTGTGAGAAAGAACAACCAAGAGTAACGAGTGAAATGATCTACCATAATAAGGTAATATTTGTAGTTCTGAGATGATAAAACTGGCGATTGCCAAACATCTGTGAAAAGAATGGTTTGGTTGAAATAATGGAGCTTTGATTAAATAGAAGTTTGTGTGTTTTATTGAGAAAGCAATCATTGTAAGGAGAAATAGGCAGAGTAGACGGCAAACATGGTAATGAAAACTGAGAAACAAGAGCTTTAAGTGTTTGAAGAGAGGGATGACCAGGGCGAGAGTGCCACTGGTGAAGGGTTGTTTTGGTATCTGGTTATGCAAAGTGTAAAGAGGCGATGGAGGAGGAATCTGCTGGCAACTCATACAACTAATCTTTCGTACGACCTTGGATCAACCGGACCCCGTGCTGAGATCCTTCACCTGAAAGTGTGCATGGAAGAATTCAACAGAAACTTGATTAGAGTTGCAGAGACGGTAAACAGAAATCAAGTTCTTATTGACATTTGGAACACAGAGGATATCCTTGAGTAAAAGAGATTTGGATGATGTAGATAGAGAAGCAGAATCAGTATGAGTGATCGGTAGACTAGATCCATCTGCAATTGCAACTTCCTCTCCTCCATTGTAAGGATGATGGGCGACAAATTCTGCAAGTCCGATGTCCAATGATGAGTTGCGCCACTATCGAGTAGCCAAGTATTGGTATTGTGTGGCATTAATGTAGTAGCAAGGTTTGCTCGCGGCTGCCATGGCCTTGTAGGCGAACTCATAGGCAAGGCTTGAGAAGATGCTCTAGAAGGGTACTGAAGTTTAGAGCATGTGCGAGCGATGTGGCCATGAATACCATAAATCTGACAGCAGCCATGATATCCACGAGGTGAGTTCTGGCTTTGTGTTCGATTAAACTGACGTTGTTGCCAAGTTTGGTTTCCATGGTAACCACCACGATTGTAGTTATTACTTTTGTAGTTATTGTTGATCTTTGACCGTACTGAGCAACATTAGCAGATGCTGGAACAGCTGGAGAGGTGGTAAGAGTGGATTGCAGCTTTACTTCATGGTTGATAAACTTTTCATGAAGTTCATTGAGGGAAGGAGGAGTTTCACGCCCGTCAATCTGATTGATAACGGTTTTGTAATCTTAAGACAGGCCATCAGTAATCATCTCTATTTGATCTTCATGATCAATGGCTTTGCCAAGTAGTGCAAGTTGGTCAAAGCGTGTGGTGAGTCCTTGGTAGTATTCGTTGATAGACTTACTGCCTTTAGTCCATTCTTTGAGTTTTTTTTTCAGTTGCTTGATGTGGCCATAACTTGGTTTGGCATAAGTGGCGGTGCGAGTACTCCAGATTTCAGCTGCGGTTATTGTTGTTGCTAGAAGTGGCTGAATGTTGGTGAAAATCACTCTAATCAAAGCACTGTAAATCAATCGGTCTTGTCTCTTCCACAAATTGTAGATGGGGTTTGGAGCAACACCTACATCAGTCATAAGTGTGGCAGCCGGAACAATAACAGATCCATCAACATAGCCGGCTAAGTCATAACCGTCAAGAAGTGCATGAACCTGACGGTTCCACATGAGAAAGTTGGAAGTGGTAAGCTTCGTTACATTGATCATATTGACGTTGAAGATAGTATGAGTGTCGGAGACATGAATTGCCTTGTTTGATTGAGCTAAATTTTCCATGAAAAAAGATAGAGATTTGAAAAGTTGGAGAAGGCGGCAAAAAAATTAGGTATTAAGAAGATGACTCTGATACCATATAGAGATGTAGGCTCGAATAGACATTTTATTAGTCATGTATATAGTATTTATACAAATATTCATGTAGGGTAAATACATATAATTACAGAGAGGTCAGGTATGTTATATTTCCTTAACAGATAATAATTTTTTGTGGTAAGTTTATATTCTGTGATGAATTAATATTTTTGTATGCATGATCTATCAGTGTGTTCTTGCTTAGCTCTTTGATTAGGCTGGTTAAATTTATGTTGTTTAGATGATTCTAAATTTCTGAGGTTGCTTTTGACTAATTTTATGAAGATTTTTTTTTTTTTTTTAACAATTTCTATTGGAAGAACGAAAGAGGGAGAGTTTGTTACAAGGGAAAATGTAATCTCATTCATTAATCTTATTGAATCGTTACAATAAATGGTTCTTTATATAGTAAAGAAAAAAGGTGGAGTAGACTAAATCGGAATGGATCTAATCCAATTTATCTAAACCGATATCTCAATTACTATAATAATTTCATGCAGATTGTATCTAAGGAACATTCATAGTTCATTTCAATCTAATGAAGAAATTATAATTTTCTCCAAATATGTTTACATCTCTCTAATCTTTCATTGATTGCTCACTTTGAGCTTTAATCAGTTGAGAATGATGGTAGAGTTTTAGTCAAACTTTTCATTTATTGTGGTAAATTTTGCGTCTACGCTGACTTGAAACCTTGTGTTTGTTGTTTACAAAGTAAAACTAAAACAACCTTTCATATTTTTGAGTAATCAAATTCTTAATTATGATTTTTTTTTTTTGAAAAGCAATTCCTAATTATGTTTCAAAGATGTTTCTTTGTTATATATATCATTTGCGTATTGCAGTGTGGTATCAGGCACAATATATCAACTCTTGTATATGTTCTTTATATTTCTTTCATCAACTGTAATGGACTGTTCTCTTTGTTATTGAGTTTCTTATGCCCTTTTTTTTTATATTATTTTGTCCATATAATTCACTTGTTTTCATAATTTGCAGTGTTACAATAAAAAGAGCAAGAGATAACAGAAAAAAGAGTTTTAAAACGTCTTTAAGTAAACATCTTTAAGTAACACTCTGAGTAGGGGTGGATGCGGATCGGTTACCCGGAAATTTTTAAATATTTGTGGTTTGCTCTGTTTTTGACGGATATTTAATTTTGTGATTTGATTTGCTCTGGAAATATACGGATATCCGGATTTTCGGTTATCCGGAAAATTTACAAGTATTTGCGGATATTTGCGAATATTTACGGATATTTATGAATATTGAGTTTGATCCGTTTAATATACGCAAAACTGAAAGTACATCAATTTTTTATTATAAAAAATATTTTTATCTAAACTGTTAAGTGAAAATAACTAAAAGAAAACAATTTATCTTATAAAAAATAAACCTACAAAATTAAAATGAGGAAAAATAATATTTTATATATAAAAATAATATTAAATATTTGAAACTTTAATATTAAATTTTACTAAAAAATATTTGTTGATATTTATTAACTAATATCAAATAAAGTATTATTTATTAACATATTTTAAATTTAAACATATTATTTATTTTTTATGATTGGTTATTTAGTCATTTATTTTATATAATCAAAAAAATTTAGAAACAATTGAAAATTTAGGAAGAAAATCATGAGTATATTAATAAAAATTTATAATATAATTGATATATATATATATAATAATAATATATACTAATATATAATAAATTTATAAAGATACGGATCGGATCGGATATCCGACGTTGTCTAAACGCATATTTGTGATTTGCTCCGTTTTGTACGGATACTATATTTTACTATTTGCTTTGCTCCAAAGCTTTACGGATATCCGGATTTTTTGAAACGGATCGAAACAAATATCAGTTCGAAGCGGATATAACGGATATTTTACCCACCCCTAACTCTGAGAACGTTTTATTATTGTAACAAACATACATATTTTTGTTGCCACATATATTGAGACAACCGTTGTTACATAGAGCTGACAAAGTCAACGATCTCAACCACATCATGGAGCAGTGAATTGGAGTTGACCACCCTACAGTTCTGCCTGATCTGTCCTTGAGTTCCCATGAGAGGCGTAATGTTTCCCATCCTATTCATCGCCTCCACAAACGCATCGAAGAACTTTTGTGTTCCATCAGCATATGATCTCACTAAAGGGATTGTATCAGTGGCATTAGGGCCCGAGAATAGCTCTTGATCGGTCTGGATAAGTCCCTTATGCTCTTTGAGATTCACATAATATTTGTTGTCAAATACCGTTGGTGTACGTAGATCAAAATCGACCAAGACGCTTTGGTTACCATTAAGAGGACATAGCCCACGAAGCGTGGAGAGGTAAGTAGTGTTGAGGGTAGGATCGGGTAAACCAGTGTTGCTAAAGTTGTATAGCCTGTTCATAATAAACTGGCATTGGTTTTTACCAAACGTGTGACCCCCTAACCAAAAGAAAGACAACATAGTAAATAAGAAATTCGCTATAGTAGGTATACATCAAATGTGTGTTTTTTTTGTTATCTCTTAATAAAATAATTACCTGAGAGAGCAACGAGATCTGAAGGACGGTCAAGGCCAACATTTTGGAAACTAGCTTTAAGTTGTGGAAGCGTGAAGAATGGAGCAGGAAGATTTGCATTAGAGAGGTTAAAGAATGCTTGGAAACTATCTCTTCTTCCCAGAGGAACTCTCCATGAAGGACCTCCTGCCTAAATATAAATTTAACAACACCTAAAATTTCTTTTTTTTTTTTGAACATTTCGTATCAACACGTAAAACACGTAAAATTTCGTTGGAAAGAAAAAGAGTAACATGTACAGTAATAAAACTCAACAAGTAGATAAATAAGTCACAAGAGAAAGAGATGGTAAGAAACAATAATAATGACTCATTATTATTGTTCTCAATCTCAACTAAACTTAAAAACATGTTGTTATTATTATTATAAAGAACAATAATATTAAGGGTTTTCTGCACACAAAAACTTTAACTATAATGAGCCGTCACCATATTAACTTTAACATAAACTTGCAAAAACTGCAACTAAGTTTTACCAAAAAAAAAAAACTGCAACTAAGAAATCAAATTTAATCCACAATATAATGAGCCGTCACCATATTCAAGTTTTTAAAATAATGATAAACTACATATAAATCGAAGTTATTATATTAGAAAGTCTTACAAACTTTTCAAAAAAAACACAAAAAATTACATTGAAGGTTAAATTTGACGTTGTGGTTTGATCTGCATTTTTTTTCAAATAGTGGGTAAACTTGCATGTTTTCAAAAATTTACTGACGACTTCACGTAGGAATTTAAAACAATGTTTGTCATTAAAAAAAAAAGTAAAGAGGGATGTATCAAAAGAGCCTACCAAATTAACAGATTGTTGAGCTGCGATGGTAAGGATATCTGCACATGAAACAGTCCTCGGGCATGCGCTCTCAACTGCTGTTTTCATTCTATCAATCACTGGAAATCCCCGAGCCGAGTTTGCATTTGGAGCAGCATCTTTTTCTGTTCGAAACGATGTTGTGTTGTCTAACAAGATCGATGCATCACAACCCTTTTAACAAAAAAATAAAAATAAAACAAATTAGTCAATAATTAACAACTATGATCCTATCTTTACCACCAGTTAACAGTGTGAGATATTGTTTTCATTTAATAAGACCATTTGTTTTCTAAAGCAAAGACCGATAGTATATGCATACACAGTAGACACAAATTAGTATACAATTGACTTTACATTATAGATCCATTAAAACCAGATTCACAATGTAATTTATAGATTGTACTTTGATTTCTCCAAAACATATCACACATTAGTGGGGTTTTTCGGGGTTCACCGTAAGCTTTTGAATGATTTTTAATCTTTTTATTTTATTTTTAAAACCCACACTAAATGGTTCATATAATTCATGTTTGCTGCTGAATTGCTCAGACTTTAATATATAATTTGAAATTATCTGTCTGTAGAAGATTAAATAATAAGTCACCGTTGACGACAAGAGCTAATATATTCGATAGTAAAAACCAAATCTGAGTATGTGAAATTTTATTTCGATCATTTCTTTGAATCTCTTTTACAAAAAATAAAATTCATCTGGATGAGATCCGTTAGGCCACTAACTATTATTTTGGACAATGTATAATCGTACGTATACCTAATGCCACAAAAAATAAAAAATAAAAAGACAAATCTTCCATAACTTTTAAATTATAAATGCATGTACGGCGAACCAGCTTTAATTTTTTTTTGCCAACAAATCATATGTATTCAACTATTTACTATAACTGACAACGACGTATTTTGTTTTCTTGAATTACCCGAAAAAACTTGTTTCAGAAATCGAGTAAGTAAACGATATGTTTTCTTTTGATTAACGGTAAAATACATGTTGATAGCAAAAATCTAATTAGAAAGTATATTTTCTAAAAAAATAGAAAATATGAATATAATGCTAAGATATAATGTTGCATACGTACTTGTGAGATAAAGTATACTACAAATTGTAAAAAGGAGTATCTTACATTAACGAAGCAATCGTGGAAGTGAAGACGAAGGATGCTCGCGGCGATACGAGGATCCGACCTTAATTCGTTAACAATGGTATCCCGTACGATGTTGAAGACGCTAGGACATGTACTGTCGTAGAAGGTAGGAGTTAGTTGAGCACTGGAGAAAGATGAATGAAGCATGAGGCATCCAATTGTTATTAGGTTTGTCCAAGTTGACAAAGATGACGACGAAGAAGAGAAAAAATGCATCTTTTCTTTCAAATGAAATTATTCGATTGGTTTTACTCGAGAAGATGAGGAAGTCACATATCACAAAGATCCTTTTATAAAAAATTTTTGGTCTAACTTGTAGGTTTTCCTTTTTCGTGAATTATTTGTGTATATGATTTTGGGTCAACAACTCTAAATTATTTATTATCACGTGTAATTTAGACTATATGAATTATTTCACGTTACATATTCTTTAGTTTACAAATACTGCATCTGCATGGGACCGATTAATTTTAATTTTATGGTTACTTGGACCGGTCATATATGTGTTTGGGATTAATTCTACAAAATTTGGACAACTTCATAGATATATAATGGTGGTCATGCAACATTAAGAAGCCTAGCTACATTATCTTGTCTAACAAGTGCAATATTCGCACTTACCTTTAGAAGTATAACAGACAAGGCATCTTCAAAAATCTATAAAGACTTATTTGCTTTCACATCTCTATTTGTAATGACCTTGTCATTTTCTCCCGTGTCGGAAACGGGTTCGGCGAATATATATATAATAAAATAGTATAAACTCGTTTTCAAATATGAGTTAAAAAACAAAAGAGGAAATGACCTAATATATACGCGTACTGAAGGTGTTTAAACGCTTTTTCTTATCTTTAGACTTAAATTATATCCTCACTTCCAATTTGAGAAAATTATCTATTCTTTTATTCATTTTTTTTAATAAAGGACTCTTTTATTCATTTTGACCGAGAATTCTCAGACTTTATTAAGTGTTCTTCTTTTGTTCAAATTTTTTTAAGTTTTAACTGATGACCAATAAAAAAGGAATATGAATAAAAAAGAAATGAATAAAAGAAACAAAAGAAAAAAAATAAATAAGAATAAAAAATAAATAGTAAATAAATATATTTTGTTCCTCTCTAATTTTAATAAAGAATACATTTGTTCTATAATATTCCTTATATGATGCTTACCAAAAAATATTCCTTATATGATAAAGAATAAGAAGGAATGATAGGAAAATATTATTACTAGCAAATGGTAAAAAATTTTAGAAATGAATAGGAATTCATTATTCCTCCTCGTTCCCTTAGATTTTCCACCAAATTATGTTATCTTAAATATTTTTATTTCAACATAAAAAAATCCTCGAAAATATCAAAAAATTATCTCAGGCGAATGGCTTTGAACATTTTGTTACAACAATTTTGCATTGGAAGAGCATAAATAATATGAAATATGCACTCTATAAACAGTTTTTTTTGTCGGCACATAATATAATCATTTGTTCATAAATTAAGTAAATGACGTTGGTGTTTTATAGTAAATATCATTTTGGTTGGTTACCATTTGACCCTACAAATAATAAATGTTTCGTTTGTGAGTTGTAAAATAAAATATATATTTTTTCTTTATAGTACTCTAATTTATTCAGGATATTTAATTGCTATTTTTCCAAATAAAATATTTTATCATCAAATATCACACTAATTATAAAATTGCATGATTTCACAGAAGTGTTGAAATATTTTTTTTGTCATTCCGCACAGAAGATATAATCTATATTTATCATTTTGTCATGATAGTCATTTAATTATCTAAAAAAAATCAATACAACAATAACCTATAAGTCTCTCCATGTGTTGACAACTCAGTTTTTTTGTGTTATTAGAAGCTGACACATCAGCAAAATACTGAACCAATTAAAAAGTTTCATTAATACACTTCATCTCAATATTTTGACACATAGGCAATTTTCTTTTTATCATCAAAATTTTTCATTAATAAGACCCAATATGGACAGTACATAGAAATTGAAGTCCAATATTATTATTTTGGGATAACTGCAAAATTAACCATCATTATATCGATGACAAAAATTAAAACACACCATTTTTAATAATGTACTATGTGTTGTTTTATAATTTTTAATTTTTATTTAAATTTTTTAAAAAGAACAAACTGAAGCTCATTGTATATTATCGATATCTTCTTTCTCCTTTTCCCTATCATCATCTTCTTCGTCCATCTTCTTCAATTATTATAGAAATTATCTAATTAACCTAACTAATTGATAATGTTTATTGGCAAACAAACCTAAAATTCTAAGATTTTAACTTTGTGGCAAATATTGTTATCTCATTAAACTTATGATTTCACTTCTAAGATTTTAACTTTGTGGCAACTTTGCGGGAAAGAAGGATTTTTTAACCATGGATCTATTCAGGAGATATGGTGGTTCTCGAAAGAGTTTGAAAAAGATCTACAATCGCATTGTGTTGATGAATTTTCTGAAAGTTGAAACTTTAAAGTGGTAAAGCTTTGTCCCTGATGCTAAAGACGGATGAGATATCCAATTACAGTAACACCATTGTTGTTTAAGTTGTATTTAGGCTTGCGTTTAATACTTTAATGTTTTGGGCCTTTGTATTTGGGTGTTACTCATGTATCATATCTGTCTTATGGCTTATTAATAAAACTATATCTAAATATATTGTGAAGTTTGAAGGTTTGATATATGCATATAAGTGTGAGTAATGTTTAGGTATGATAATGTCAATGTTTACATGTTTAAAGCAAAGATATGAGAAAAAGTAAAAAATCCAGAAAATTATGTTTTCTATATATTAAAATTAAATAATTTTTTTATAGTGCACCAAATTTTAATTAATTATCAAAAGAATGAGTACTTTTTTAATTAAGTTATTGTATACTTATGAATGAATATTTGAAAGTGTATTAAGTTTTTGAAAGCAAATATATTATGTTTAAAAGTATCAGAGATCTGATCGAAAAAGTTGTCAACCGCCTAAATCTCGACCAGTGACTATGATTTAATAGATGAAAGAAACACTGATAAGATTTGGAGAATGGGAGGAATGACGGCATTATGAAGCAATTTTTGTAGTTGCTAGACTTGTTTCTAGCATATGTGAGAGAAGAAGAACTGAAGAAAAATAAAGTTATAAGATCTGAGGTCAATTAAATACGATCTTCAAACATTTGACATGGTTATTTGGTTTCTTTCGATATATTTTGTAGCTTTTTTAATTTCTAGAGCTAAGGTAGCGATCTGATCAATATATAAACTTAAGCTATAGTAAATATGTAAGCTAATGTGAATTGTTGTTTCATTTGTGGTTTTTTACTAAATATTTTTTTAATGCTAAATAAAAATTAATGTTAAAATAATTATTTTAGTTAGTGTAAGAAAATCATGCATTAAAAGTTTCATAATTAAAAATATGAATATAACCTGCGAGTAAAGAAATTTATGATCATAAGTAAACTTATAATAGTAAAATGCGTTTTTTTAGTTTTGGTTGAAAAATGTGATTTCTCGATTTTACAAGAAAATATGATTTTACCAGTTTAGAAAAAAAAAATACAATTTTTCCGATTTCGTTAGAAAAGTATAATTTGTGGTTTTTTCGAAAAATATGATTTTTGGTTTTTTTTATTATTTTTAAATTTAAGAGTATTTTAGTCATTTGTCATTTTGAACTGAAACATCTAGCTCCATCAAGATGGTCCAATTTGGTTCATTCAGATAATTCTCATAAATTTATCTAAATCTTCAAAAATCATCTAGATAATTCATCTATATATTTTTTGATTTTGTTACAAAACAAACAAAATTCTCATTTTTATTCAAATGAACCATATAGATGGAGAAATAAATAGGGCATAAATCCAAAACTTATGCTAAATAAAAAATAAATATAATATTTATTTATACTGTAAAAAAATAACTTTTTATTTTTAAAATATATAAAATTTAGAATAACATCTCACAGCATAGCGTGAGTAAATACCTAGTTATATTTATAGTAGCAACCAAATTCAATGGAATAGTAACCGTATTATAAATAAACAAAAGTAACCACATAAGTGGCGTTTGTTTGAAGCTGAAGTCCGTTTCCAAATGTTACTTCACCCAGCGAGCGTCTGACATTTCGAGTTTGTTTTTTGGGTCTAAATGTCTGACATTTAGCGTTTGATTTCTTAACGTTTGGTTCCTTATGAATGTTCTCAGATACTGAATCACTAAGATTTTCTAATAATATTTGAGTGGCAAATAATTCAAACCGTAAGTTTGACTGAAGAATAAACCCAAACCGTAAATTTTGTTCTATAATGATTTTCTAAAATGAATTTTGGATTTTCAGTCTATTCTTGCCGGCTCGGCAATGTTGTCATGATTCTTCTCACATAAGGGTATCATCTTCTGCTGGATATAGACACCAAATATATTGATCATTTTCGGAAAAACGATCTATTTCCCCACCAGAACTATCGTATAACACCAAATGAAGCCCGAACTATATCCTCTTTCTAGATATCCCTCCGATGAAAGTTAAAGATTCAGATAGCTATCGGTATTGGTTTCAATGGTTAAGACTAAACCTATACGCAATATTGGTTAACCGAATGAGAAACCCGGATAAGAAACCCGAATGAAGCCTTCTACACCCGACCCGTTCCTTGCCTACATACATCTAACTTTCAACGGTAAGAATCAGAAATCCCCAAATCTACTAAGAACCCTAAAATCGAGTTCGTAAACCCAAATAGAAAACCTCGAAATCTATTGTTCTTCAAACGTATTTCCGAAATCGAGTGTATTTCTATTGTTAGTGTTGAATTTCGTTGTCTCATTTCTGTTTTTTCATACTGTAGAATGTTTATTTCAGTTCTGGATTTTTGATTGTTGTCTGAATTTTTTATTGTCTCTAGGTTGTAATCCGCCATGAGTAATCTGTCTGGAGCTTCGAGTGGATCTTCAAATGGTCGAGCAAGAGGAAGAGTTGTTGGTGTACCTAAAAGATGTTGGTGTGGAGATCAAATTGTGGCGTTGATATCAAAATCTGACCATAACCCTTACCGAAGGTACTATCGATGTGGCTATGCTGTTTCTCAGAAGGTAATTCGAACTCAATGACCTTGTTGTACTGATTTTGTTATGATGCTTTTGGTTCTTATTGGTATAAATGGATCATTCTTGTAGCTTATGAATGATAATCACACTTTCAAGTGGGTTGATGAGGCATTCTTAAATGAGATTGAGGCTTTGCAATTGAAAATCATGAGACTTGAGGAAGAGC